ACGAAGAGGACAGGGCACTGACCCAGGGTGATCTGGATCACTCAGGAAGCTGGGTGCAAGCAAACAATGTGCGTCTTGACACCACTAAATGTCAACGGACACGTCCAGGAGCGAAGACTCCAGACCACCCTGACGGGCTGGGGGCTCTGTCCTGGGAAGCAGCGACTCAGGCAAAGAGTTGCCGGTGGTGATGGATAATTAGCTGGACATGAGCTCCCAGTGTGTTTCTGTGGCCAAAAGGGCTAATGGGATCCTGGGATGCAGAACTAGGGGAATCTCGAGTAGGAGCAGAGAGGTTCTTTTACCTCTTTCTTAGGCACTGGTGCGACCGCTGCTGGGATCCTGTGTCCAGTTCTGGTGCCCACCATTCAAGAAGGATGTTGATAAATTGGAGAGGGCTCAGAGATGGTTAAAGGATTACAAACCCTGCCTTACGTTGATTGATCTCCTAGGGTCTATCTGTTTACCTTAACGCAGAGAAGGTTAGGGGTGATTTGATCACAGTTTATAACTACCCAACATGGCAAACAAGTCTTTGATAATGGGCTCTTCGATTTAGCAGACAAAGATATAACACAATCCAAAGGCTGGAAGTTGAAGCTAGACAAATACAGACTGGAAATAACCTGAACCTTTTTGTACCTTGAGGGTCATTAACCATTTGGGACAATTTCCTAACGGTTGTGGTGGATTCTCCATCACTGGCAGGTTTTAAATCGTGCTGGGCTATTTCTCGGCGAGGTCCGCTCTGGTTCAAACAGGAAGGAATTCAGGGAAGTCCTACGGCCTGTGTTACCCAGCAAGTCAGACGAGATGTTTGGGCTTAGAATATCTGAACCTGTGAAAAACCACATTTGGAGTTCAGTTTTCAGTAAGACTCTCACTACGGACGGTGCGTAATGGAGGCTAGGTGAGGCTAAGCCCCCCAAACCTCGTGCTGCCCGGGGGCGTGGGGCGGGGAAGAGTGGCAGATTACTCCACAGGGCTTGTGCCCCAATTTGGGGCCCCGGAAAAATCTCCCCCCGCCACAGTCCTGGGGCTGGAGGAGTTGTTGCTCCCTGAGGTGGAGCTTTTCCAGTCTCGGGGCGGTGGGGGGGAAGGGTAGAGCATCGGGGGTGGGAAGTGGCAGAGTGGGGGCGGAACAGGGGCGGGGCTGCGGGAGAAGGCGCGGAACAGGGGAGGGGTTCCGGGAGAAGGAGAAAGACCTGAGTGTATCAGTCAATCACAGGATGAGATGCAGCCGTGTTCTTTTTTCAAAGCAGCTGTGATTCTAGGATGCATCAGGCAAGGTATGCCCAGTCGAGACAGGGCAGTATTAATCCCATTGCACAAGGCACTGGAGCGCTGCGTGCAGTTCTGGTCACTTGTGTTCAAGAAAGAGGGATCTAGACTGGAGCAGGTGCAGTGACGGGCAGCTAGGCTCATCGCTGATTGGAGGGGTGGTCTCTGGAGAGGAGACTGGCTCGTTTAGCCCAGCACAACGAAGGCTCACGGGAGCTGATTGCCCTAGAAATACGTCCGTGTAAATGCCAGGGAGGGAGAAGAGCTAGTGAAGCTAAAGGACAGCGTTGGCCCAAGAACAAATGGGGACGAACTGGCAGGGAGTAAACTGAGGCAGGATATGAGAAGTGGGTTTCTAACCTGGGAGGAGGCAGGTTCTGGACCAGCCTCCCAGTAGAAGCAGTGGGTGCAAACGAGCTCACGAGCTTAAAGGCGGAGCGTGGTGAGTTTTGTGATGGGAATGACGTGATGGGTGACGACTGGCTGCCGGGACTGGCATCGAAGACCCAGGAGGTCCATTTCGGCCCTTGCGTGATGGCTGCTGAAAGGTGGGACCCAGAGTGACTTAAAGGGACCTGATTTGGGATGTGAGCCTGGGGCATCAAACGCGTCCTTCATACCCCCACAGTGGGCTGGCTCAGGCCCCGACACAGCTCCGGTTCCATCCTCCCACGCCTGTGGGCTTTGCTTGGGCCCATGGAGAGATTTGTGAGCTGAAAAGTGGCCCAACTTGCACATGCACAAATGGGCTCATGCACGCTGGTGAACACTCACGCACGCTAGCAAGCAAGGGTGCAATGGTGCAGGCTCACAAGTGAGTGCCCATGTACTCTAGACTGTGCAGGTGCAGTGGTGTGAGCGCAGCAGTGAGTGCTCAGGCACACTAGAAGGTGTGGGTGCAGTGGCGTGAGCACATCAGTAAGTGCACATGCACAGTAGTGGGTGTGGTGCAGTGGTGCGGGCACACTGGTGAGTGTGCATGCACGCTAATGGGCGTGGGTGCAGTGGTGCACGTGCACCCGTGAGTGCTCGTGCACACTAGAGGGTATGGGTGCAGTGGTGCATGTGCAGTGGTGAGCCCTTGTGCATGCTAATGGGCATGGGTGTGGTGGCATGGGTGCACCAGTGAGTGCTCACGTGCAGTAGTTGGCGTGGCGCAGTGGTGCGGGCACACTGGTGAGGGCTCAGACATGCTGATGGGTGTGGTTGCAGTAAGCCCTCATGCATGCAGTGGCACGGGTCCATGCTGGGCCAGGCAGAAGGGGCAGGGCAGCCTCCCCCTCCTGCGACAGGAGCTCCCCTTCTCAGGGACCCTGAATCCCCCCCCAAGCGCTAAGGGCCCCAGCTGAGCTCAGGCGGCCATCGCAGGGGGTGCAGACAGCTGTGTCGTGGCACCATGGCGGCTGCTGGTTTAACGCACTGGGAGCAGCCCCAAACTGGCCTGGCCGGCGCGGCCTGCCTGCCCCAGGGGCGGTGCTGGGGGCAGAGGCCACGGTGGCTCGGCGGCTGCCCGCCCAGGTTGTTGCATTGAATTTCCATGTTTGAAAGGGATAGAAAAATGGCTCCTGTGCTGGGTCCTACTGCGCTCCCCGACTAGCTGGGCCCCTGCTCTGCAGCGCTCGTCAGGGCAGCTCTGCTGGGAGGCAGCCGTGTGAGGCCTGACCTGGGACACAGGAGACCTGGGTTCTCTTCCCAGCTCTGCCATGGCGGGGGGGGACCTCGGGCGAGTCCCTTTGCCTCGCTGTGACTCAGTTTCCCCATCTGTAAGACGTGGTTAATGACACTGAGCTCCTTTGTGAAGCGCTTTGAGCTCTCCTGCTGCACTAGGTAAGGGCTGGCTGTCATTGGTGATTGGTGGAGACCGGCCTGGCTGGGCAGGGGTGGGTTTCCTGTGTTCCCAGACCAGGCCCCATTGCCATGGGGTGCGTGCCTGTCACGCTGCCCCCCAGCATGTACAGGAGACCGAGGCTTGCCCGGGGGGCTGGGCTGGAAACCCTTCCGTTGCTGGTGCTTTCCCACTCTGCTCGGGCTCGGCGTCCCGTGTGCAGGGGGGCTGAGGGGTGAAGCATCGGCTGGGGCCGGGACCAACAGCTGCTCGACTTGCACAACTGGTTTGGGTGGCACGGTTGTGAACTTGTTGGGTGGTTCTTCGGCAGGGGAGGAGCCACAGGTGCCAGAACAATGGGCTGGGGGCCATTGGATCCCGCTCCGGCAGGGCTGGGGGTGTCCGCAGGGGGTGCGGGTGCTGATCTCTGTGTGGGGAGAAGGCGGCCGGCGCAGGGAGGCTGTATAGCCCGGCGGAGGCAGCAGCACCATGGGGAATGGGAGGAGGGCCGGGGCTGAGTGCCGCGGGCCTGGCCAGCAATGGTGCCTGGGGTGCTGGGCGCTGCACAGGCAGTAACAGCCCCTTCCCACCGGAACTGGGACAGGCTGGGGCACGGGACAGGGCGAGGCAGCCCCTGGACTGGCTCTGACGTTGGCTGGGGTTTAACGAGGGGGGGGCAGCCGAACAGGGGGCAGGGCAGCTGGACAGAGCCTGAGGTGAGCAGACTGGCCGGGTTGGAGTGAATGGCCAGTCAGCGTCCGGGAGAAAGTCCAGCCCACAGTGTACAACGTCCTGCTGACGAGTGTCCTGCAGCTCTGGCTGCATCTTCCCTGCCTCTCCCCCGGCCCCCGCCCGCCCGCCTATTCCTGGCGCTGCGTCCCCACACCTGCCCCCTGGCATCACGGCTCTGGCTGCATCTTCCCTACCTCTCCCCTGCCCCTCCCCCCCCACCTGCCTATTCCTCGTGCTGCGTCCCTCCCCTGCCCCGGCATCACGGCTCTGGCTGCATCTTCCCTGCCCTCCCCTGCCCCCTCCCCCCCACCTGCCTATTCCTCGCGCTGCGTCCCCACACCTGCCCCCTGGCGTCACGGCTCTGGCTGCATCTTCCCTGCCCTTCCCCTGCCCCCTCCCCCGCACCTGCCTATTCCCCCAGGCCAACCTCCCACCCCCCCACCGCCCGTCTCCTCCCCCTCTCCACATCCCTTCACCTCTGCCATCATGGCTCAGGGTGTATCACCCCTCCTGCAGATTTCCCCCCAGTGCTGCAGCTCCTGGTGCGGCTGTTCTCTGCCTGGTGCTGCCAACCCCACTTTCTCTGGCCCCGAGGGGCTGGCTCCTCCCTGGAGTTTCCTTCTCCCTCCAGCCCACAGGGCTGGGGAAGGGGGGTGCCGCACGGTCCTAGTGCCCCTGGAGGTCACCCTGCATAGTTCTGGTCTATGGGGTGCTGGGGAAGGGGGGTGCCGCACGGTCCTAGTGCCCCTGGAGGTCACCCCTGCACAGTTCTGGTCTATGGGGTGCTGGGGAAGGGGGGTGCCGCACGGTCCTAGTGCCCCTGGAGGTCACCCCTGCACAGTTCTGGTCTATGGGGTGCTGGGGAAGGGGTGCTCCCAGTGCAGACCTGGGGCCTACGCCTTGGTGGCTGCTGGGCTCAGTCAGGGCCCTGTGCTGCGCTCCCCTCAGGGAGTGGCCTCTCTGAGCTCGGGTGCAGCGGCCCAGACCAGGGCAGGGAGGCGGCTGCTGTGCTGGGAGGGTGTTTCAGTTCTCTCCTCTCCGTGAGTGGGGCGGGAGCCCAGGGCGTCCCTGCGGGCAGAGGGCAGGGCAGGGTGGGGATGCTGGGGGCTGATGACTCAACTCCCCAGCCAGGGGCTGACGGTGTCTGTTCTCTGTTCTGCAGATTCGTTTGTGAACAGCCAGGAATGGACCCTGAGCCGCTCGGTGCCTGAGCTCAAAGTGGTGAGTGCTTGGCCTAGCCTGCTCTGCCTGCAGAGCCCCTTGGAGGGCCTGTGGCCGGGGCCGGTGCCTGCTTGTGAGCGGTGGGAGTGAGACCCCCCTGCTCTGCGGAAGGTGGGGCAGGGCTGCCGTGTGCATGTCCCCTTGGATGGTGTCCGGTGCAGGGGCTCTGGACCCCTGGGAATGAAGTCAGACGGGGCCCTCTGGCAGCGTGACTCCCCTGGGACGTGCTCTCACCAGGGCAAGCCCCCTCCTCCTGGGTCTGACCTCGGAGCATTCAGCCCCTGTTAACACGGTGAGCCCCCGCAGCGAGTAGGGGACACCTGGGGGAGCCTCACACCCCCCCAAAAGGCCCTGCCCTCCACTCCGCAGCCAGCAGTGACTCCCAGCCAGCGTGGGACAGACGGGTTATTGGTCACCAGGAGCCCAGCATAGAGCAGAGCTTGTGAGCACAGGGAGCAGGAACATTCAGCCAAGTCCATCTTGGGGGGATCCAGAGCCCTGAGCTCTCTCCCCTGAGTCCCAAACCAGGAGACTGACTCGCTTCCAGCCACCCAGCCTCAGGCACGCCCAGCTGCCACTACTCCGGCCATTGTGTCTTTCCTGGGCAAACTGGTCACCTGGTCTCCACCTCTCGCTTCCTTCGCCAACTCATGGCAGGGGGTCCGGCCATCAGTTGCCAGGATATAGTGTCGACCCCGGCCTTCTCTGGCAGTCACACCTGCCCTCTAGGGGTCTCTGATCACACGCCCTTATCCCACCACCTAGAGACTTGTGCAACACACAAGGGAAACTGAGGCACCCGCAGTATTCATACAAAACATTAAGAAAACTCATTTTGTCACAGACAGGAAAGGCTGCGGGGCTGGGGTTGGGTCCTTAGACGTGAAAGCCCCAGGGACTGTTCTGCCCATCCCATCCAGCCTCCTGCAGAGCCCAGGGCAGGGACCCTCGCCCAGGGACTCCAGCCCAGCCCAGCCCATCTGGCAGAGCTAGAGCAGGGGTGTTAGAGAGACTCCCGGTCTGGATTCACCCTGCGTGATGGAGTTTCTGCCCCCCTGCCCCCGGTCAGCTGTTCCATTGTTTGTCTCCATTCAGCCCCCATCTGTTCCTGGTGTCCTGTTACGGGGTGATAGGTGCTGCTCCCGCAGTGCCTGGGGGAACCAAGCGCCTCTCCCCTCCCCTCTGCCTTACTGTTGGCTGCTCCATATCTCTCCCCCTCCTGCCCCCGTGCAGCCTCACACTGTTCAGGGCACTCGTGTGTGTGGCCCTGCGCATGGCAGCAGTGTCGAGGTACCTGGATTTCCCTCCCGCTGATGGTGTGTCTCCCACCTGGCCTTAGGATTCGGGACCTGGCTGGAGTCGGGGGACCCAAATTCAATTCTGGGCTCTGCCACAGACTCTCTGTGTGACCTTGGGCAGGTCCCTTTGTCCCTGTGAGCCTGAGCCCCATCCGTGCGAGCCTTTGCCGCGCAGTTCGCTGGGTGTGCAGCATGGCCAGGCTGTGCTCAGAACGGGGGCCAGCTCTCCCTGTGCGTCGCACCGGCAAAGAGCTCCTGACATGGCTAGGTCCTGCCCAGTTCCCACGGGCCCTCAGTGGGTGCCCTCTCGCCAGCACCCCACCTGGCTGGCACTGGGTCTGACAGCGGCACCTCAGCATGCCCGGGACATGTTCTCTATCTGCACAGAACTTCAGGGATTTTAAGTCTGGAAAACCTGGCCTGTAGTGAGAGACTGGAGAAGCTCATTCTGCTTAGCTTAGGAAAGAGGCGGTTCACAGCCCAGAAGTGCCTAAGCGGGGAGGAGATTTGATCTCCCAGACGAAGGCAGAACAAGAGCCAATGGCTGGAAGTTGATGTCGGCAAAGTTCAAACTGGAAATAAGCAAATTTTTTCCCAGCAAGGATAACTCCCCATTGGAACAGCTGGCCTGGGCATGGGATGGGTGTGACGGGTTCCCCCCTGGGGCGCCACCTGGAACTGGCGTTCCGCTGAGCCCCCTGACCCACCAGCCTAGGCTCTCTCTCACACTGTACTGCTGTGACAAGCTACAAAGCCCTCTCCAGCCTGCATGTTCACCAGCACACACACAGGTAGGGACACACGCAGCTGCAGTTACATACAGGCTCTCTGACCAGCCCCTGCATAGGAAGGCTACAGTTAAGGCAACTCCCAGCTCCCCAGGCATGCACCCCTTCTGGAATATAAACCCAAAATTATACCATCTTGCGCTGCACAGGGAACTGTACAGCATAAGCTCATAAAATTCGCTCCCTCCCTCAATGTGGAGAGGAATATGCAACAGCCTTTGCCCCTGAGTTATGATTCCCACACACTGGTTTAGATGAAGCAAAAACAAGTTTTATTAACTACAAAAGATAGATTTTAAGTGAGTATAAGGGATAGCAAACAGATCAAAGCAGATCACCCAGCAAATAAACAAAAAACGCAAACTAAGCTTAATATGCTATAGATTGGCTATGAATAGGAGATTCTCACCCTAAGAGATGATACAGGCAGGCTGCAGATTCTTAGGGGGCAAACTGCACTTGCTCACAGCTTGGAATCCCCAGTTGTTCCAATCCCTCTCGCCTGGGTCCAGCACTTCCCAAGATGGAGTGTAGAGACGTGGTCTCATCACATGTCCTTGTAGAGTCATAGCAGCCATCCTCCTTCTGGCACCTGGGGAGGAGGAGAAAATGGCACACAGGGCAGCCCAGCCGTGTGCCCCTTGTGGATGGGCAGTTGTGGTGTGGTCGCCGTTCCTCACGGGGTTAACCCTCACCCAGCCACACGCTGCATGGCGGTGTCACACCCCGTCACACAAGGTTACCCTGAGCCAGATTGATCAGGTTGTCCATTCTTCCAAGGGTCAGGCCCGCTTGGGCTCAGAGTGGTGGGGAGAGCCGATGTGGTGCAGCACCTGGATGCTGTCTCCTACCATGCTGTATTTATCCGGCCACACACAAAACTGTCAGAAAAGAATGGGACCAGGTTACAAAATTGAGCACTCGGGAGTCTGGAAATGCCAGAAATGAGCCTTCCCTTGTCCCTGGGGTGTCTACTCTGGCACTGGGTTTGTCTGGGGGAGTTTCCCACAGGACCATGCCTTGTTCAGTGCACGGGTTTCCTAGCTACGGAGATGGAATTTCCTAGCGTTTTTTTTTTTTAACAGAAAAATGGAGGGAAAAATTCATTTATATACAACTGTGAGCGTCTTTGCCTCAGTCACCAGCAGGGTTTGAACTCAGAACTTCTGGGTGCAGGGCAAAGCTCTACCACTTGTGCTAACAGAGGAGCTACATTAGCTAGCAGCAGTGGTAGGTTATATCCTCTGTGAAGCAGCCACTAGAGGTGGATGCAAAACACACTGGGTTATTTATACATGAGTAGCCCCACTTTACAGACAGCTTGGCCAAGGCCAAAGATATGCAGGTTCTTTCTGCGAGGCTAAGGATCCGATTCGGTCACGGATTCTCTGACTTTAATAGACCTTCATGACTTCTTCGGTTTCAGCCGGCCGCAGCGGCGTTGGAGCAACTGTCAGCCCCTGCCCAGGAGTAGCAGCCCAGGGCAGGAGCAGGGCTGGGTCAGCCCCCGCCGCAGGTGCAGCCCCTGGGGCCGAAGCAGCAACGGGCTGGGTCAGCTGCCATCACAGGAGCAGTGGCTGGGGCAGAAGCAGCGGTCAGCCCCCGGCGGGGCTCTGACTTTTAGTCCCCCCGACCCCAGGGTATTTTTAGTAAAGGTCAAGGACACATCACGGGCGTCCGTGAATTTTTGTTTGTTGCCCACGACCTGTCCGTAACTTTTACTAACAGCACTCGTGGCAAAATCTTAACCTCAAGCAGAGCTAAGCAGCTGCGACTTGGGTCTGCTCCGTTACCACTGTTACGCTCCCAGCTCTGCAAAGTTACAGGCTGATACTGGCCTGCTTCCCAGTGTGGGGCAGCGAGGCCTTGGTCAGAGGAAGGGACGTGCACCCAGGAACAGCCTCAGGAGAAGAGGTGCAGTGAGAACTCTCCTTCTCTCGGCTCCTGGCCAAGTGCCGCTTTCCGTAGGCCGGGGGATTTTGAGGAGGGAGAGCAGCAGGTGAAGGATCCGTGTTGTCTTTGTGCGGGGCGCTCAGTGGGGCTGGGGGAGCGTGCTCAGTGCAGATGGACAGTTCAGAAAAGGAAGGCACAAGCCAGCACCCAGCGGCACTGGCCATGTGCAATTGGGGATTGACTACTCTATGGGTTAGAACTTGGCCACCTCTGACCAGGTTTTCCCAGACAGCGGAAGGTGCCTCCCTAACCCCCGGACTATCCTCGTGCCACTTTCCAGTACCTGCTACAACCCCCCAGGCACCAGAGCTCTCCAGAGAAATGGTTTTTACCTGTTGGCGCCTGAGCTGCTCTCCAAAAGAGCAGCGTGTATTGTGGCGACGCCCTGAATGAGCCAGCCAGCAGCAGGCACCGACTTGGCAAATCTCAGCCCAGGCAGCTCAAGTGTGGTAAAGTCATTAGCAACGGGAAACGGGCTTATAATGGGTCGTGTCAGGCAACCGTAACTCCAGGCAGCGCAGCCAGCCCCGCTTGTACATGTGTGCTCTGCTGCTGGCGGAGAAAGGGCAGATCTTACACCCCCTTGCTGGGATCCCAGGGAGCAGCTGTGGCCAGACCCACAGCCAGACGCTTTCTCTCTTTCTCTGCATCAGGAGCCGTGTGACTGGTCGTGTGGCCCGTGGGAGGTTGGTGTAGGCTGGGAGAAGGGTCTCCTCCCCTGTGGGGCAGGCAGGGACTTGACAGCACAAGTGTCCATCGAAGCAACGGGAGATCTGGGGGCTGTGGAGGGGTGGCTGCCCACTTGCCTTCAGCCGTCCTCCCTTGAGCCAGCAGGGCTCCGGCATCTGCTCTCCGCTCCCATCCAGTTCCAGGCGCAGTGCTCCGCCTGGCGAACCCAGGAATGCCACTGGATGGCAAGCTGGGGGGTGCAGTGGCTGGGCCCTCTCAGGGGGGCCCTGCTGCCTGAGCAGTAAGCGTGTGTCACCCCCACTGGCCTGGCCAGTGCTGGCCCCGGGTCGATGGGCCAGGCCCTCTAGTGATATTAGCGCGGAGGGGGCAGGGCGCTTTCACACCTTTGTGTTGCAGGGCATCGTGGGGAACCTGTCCAGCGGCAAGTCAGCCTTGGTGCATCGCTACCTGACTGGCACGTACGTGCAGGAGGAGTCCCCAGAAGGTAAGGGCCTTGCCCTCCTGGGGGCTGTCCCCATGCTGAGCTCTGGGCTCTGACTCCTAGTCCCTGGCTCAGGAGGTGACCCCCCAGCCAGCCTCACAGCTGCCCCCAGGCGTCTGCCCACCCGGGTGTGTCCCTGGAGGTGTGCGCCCTCCATTCACCCCCCCACCCCACCCCCGGCTCAGTGCACTGCTTTGCCTTGTCCCCAGGTGGCCGGTTTAAGAAGGAGATCGTAGTGGATGGTCAGAGTTACCTGTTGCTGATTCGAGATGAAGGGGGTCCCCCCGAGCTCCAGGTAAGAGCCCCCCTCTCTCCCGCATGAATCCTGCCCCTTGAGAGCCCTGTGCAAGTAACAGAGAGCTGCGGGGAAGGAGAGGAGGCCGCTGGCCTGGCCGTCAGTCCGGGAAGAGGCCCTGTCCTGGAGGCGTCAGGGGGTTTGGATCTCACAACAGGGTTGGATGGGAGACCAGGAAACGCTTAAAAGCTGCAGGGAGCGGGGTGGGGCTCAGCAGGGGGGCTGGGCTGCAGAGAGTGAGGTGGGGGCTCATTGGGGCAGGGGCTTGGTGGGGCAGGTGCAGGGCTGCAGGGAGCAGGGCGGAGGCTCAGAGGCGCAGGGGCTCATTTGGACAGGCACTGGGGTGCAGGGAGCGGGGTGGGGCTCAGCAGGGGGGCTGGGCTGCAGAGAGTGAGGTAGGGGCTCATTGGGGCGAGGGCTCAGTGGGGCAGGTGCAGGAAGTGGGGCAGGCGCTGGGGTGGGGACTCAGTGGGACAGGCACTGGGGTGCAGGGATCGGGGCAGGGGGCTCGGTGGGGCAGGCACAGGGCTGCAGAGAGCGGGGCGAGGGCTCAGTGGGGCAGGTGCAGGGAGTGGGGCAGGCGCTGGGGTGGGGACTCAGTGGGACAGGCACTGGGGTGCAGGGATCGGGGCAGGGGCTCAGTGGGACAGGCACTGGGGTGGGGGCTCAGTGGGACAGGCGCTGGGGTGGGGGCTCAGTGGGGCAGGCGCTGGGCTGATGGTCGGTGTCTCCCCCAGTTTGCCGCCTGGGTGGACGCCGTGGTGTTTGTCTTCAGCCTGGAGGACGAGATCAGCTTCCAGACGGTGTATAACTACTACCTGCGGCTCTGCAGTTACCGCAGCACGGCCGAGGTGCCCATGGTCCTGGTGGGGACGCAAGGTGAGAGGGACCCAGGACAAGCGCTGCCGAGACACCCCGGGGTGCCAGGGCTGGCCCTGCCTGTAAGGGGCTCACAGGGACTCCGTGTGGGGCCTGGGCTTTCACTTCTGGGGGGGCCAGTCACTCCCCCCCCAAGCCTGTCCTGCATTGGGGCGGCAAGCCCCACCAGGAACATGGAACACCATGCCACATGGTGCCAGCTGCTGCCTCTCCCTCCCTCCCAGGCACCCTGAGGTGTCTGGCACCTTCCCCACCCCAGCTCTGGGCCCCTCTGAGGTGTCCGGCACCTTCCCCACCCCAGCTCTGGGCCCCTCCGAGGCGTCTGGCACCTCCCCCACCCCCGCTCTGGGCCATGCTGAGGTGTCCTGGCACCCCTGCAGGAGGTTGGAGTCTGGCAGAGGGTGGAGAGGGAGTCTTAGGGGCTCACCAAGGATCTCAGCCCAAGCGGGCCCGCATGGCCCAGCAAGGCCCCTGTGATAGGCGGATGAATCTCTCGGGGCCCTGGGCAGAGACTGAAGGTGCAGGGGAACTTCTCCAGGTCCTGCCAGTGCCAGGTGCAGAGGAGGAGATGGGTCGGGCAGACCTGCCCAGGCCGGCACAGTGGGCTCGGGGGAAGGTGACTGGGTGCATGGGGGCTCCCGTGGGCGGGGCTGGCCAGGGGATTTGAGCCGGGAGGAGCTTTCCCTGCGGTCAGAACCGGGGGCACAAGGCAGAAGCCGGCCGTTCTGCAGCAGAAGGGGGTGAACGAGGCACCTGGGGCACGTCTGCGCTAGGCTGCAGCTGGCAGCCAGCGTCCCAGGCTCTCAAGTCTTGGTGGTAGCGACGCCTCTCAGACTGCAAAGGCCTAGAGCTGGCGTTAGCGTTACTGCCTCTGCCTCGCGCAGGATGGTCCGTGCGGCCACGAGGCCGAGTCCTGCCTTGCAGGGGTCCCACGCGTATTAGCCAACACGCACGCAGGGCAGGGGGTGGAGGCGGGAGGGGGTGGGGGACTTCGGCATGGACAGCCAGAGCTCCAGGACATCTGAACCCTTGATGTGTGCCTGTGATTGTAGACAGAAGGGCGGGGCGGGTGGGGAGTGGGATTGCCAGGGGCCGGGGAGGTTGTTCGGGGCATGGGAGTGGCAGTGGGGGCTGGAGGATGTGGCAGGGGGGTGCTGTAGCCAGAGCTCCAGTGCTTGTGGGGGGTCGAGAAATTCCTAGGGTTAGGGTACAAGGAATTAAAGCTAGCAGAGAATCGTCAGTGGTGTCTGCAGGGTGGGGACGGTACCTTCCCGACCCAAGTCCTCGGACCCCCGGCGTGGGTTGTGGAACCGGGGGATCTGGAGGCAGGGATGGTAGGGAGGACGAGGGCTGCCCGGTTTCCAGTAACGTGCTGTGGAACCCGCCTATCTCAGCCCGGGACAGACGGGGCCTGGGCTTTGGAGTTGGTTATCCCAGCCCTGGATGGGGCTGGAGGGACCCCGGGAAGGTGCTGTGGGGCCCTGGTATCTTGGGGGGCTACAGGGTGGGATGGGGGTGTGGAAACCTGTTTTCTAACTCTTCCTCTCTTTGGTTTCCAGACGCTATCAGTGCCACCAATCCCCGTGTCATCGATGACTCTCGGGCCCGCAAACTCTCCAACGATTTGAAGCGCTGCACGTACTACGAGACCTGTGCCACCTACGGCCTGAATGTCGAGAGAGTCTTCCAGGATGGTAACTGCGGCGCTGCGCCCGTCCCTGCCCCCTCGCTCTCCCGCAGATACGGTGCTCTGGCACCTGCAGCCCCAGATACCTGCGACTGGCTTGCTGGAGTGCTTGTCTCTCCCCGGGGGCCTGTGTGAGCCAAAGGGATTGCGAGACCGGAGAAATGGGCGATTGCAAATGTACTGGGAGGCAGAGGAAATCCAGCTGAACCCTTTGTATCTAGACGTGCTGTGCGGGGGGGAGCAGCCGAACTGCTGGGGTAGAAACGCTGCTGCTGTCGCTTGCACGGAGCAGGGGGCTCCAGGGGCTCCAGGGGCTTGCAGCCGGAGCCTTCCTTGGGAGAGATGCTGCAAAGGGGGGCTCCAGGGGCTTGCAGCCGGCGCCTTCCTTGAGAGAGATGCTGCAAAGGGGGGCTCCAGGGGCTTGCAGCCGGAGCTTTCCTTGGGAGAGACGCTGCAAAGGGGGGCTCCAGGGGCTTGCAGCCGGAGCTTTCCTTGGGAGAGACGCTGCAAAGGCGGCTCCCCCTTCCCCCCCCCCCCGTCCTCTCCAGGGCGAGCTTGGCAGAGGCTGTGTGGCCGGATGGATTGGAGCTGCGTGCAGGGGAATGGGAGGAGGACAAGAACTGTGCCACAGAGGAAGGGGGCTGCAGGCCTAGAGAGTGGCCTGGAAGGAGGTTTGGAAAGGACAGTGCACAGCTGACATGGGAGAGGCTGGTTGGAGCAAGGGGCAGCTGGAGTGGAAGTGCAAGGAACACAAGGGTGCAATGCAATCCACTGCGGCCAGGCTTGAGTTCTTCCTCTCTTGGTCCTAGAAGAGGGAAGTGTGGTCTAGTGGGTAGGGCCCCGGTTGATGCTGCCACTGACTGTGAGTGTGTCCTTCCCCTTTTGTAAGCTAGTCCTGCTCCCCCTCGGCAAAGCCTCTTGGGCTGCAGGGAAAGGGCTATCCAAGAGCTGAGGGTTAGGGGATTCACCTTCTGAAGGAAGAGAAGGAAGTGTAGCAGTGATAATCCTGGTATTGAATCGTGTGCCTTTGGGAGGCTGGCAGGGAATACGTGGTCTCGACAGGCCGGGTGTGCAGGGAGTGGAGGAGCCAGATTTTCTTGGCTTTAGATTGCAATAAAGCGTTCCGTGCTTTCGGACCTCCTGGGGGTTGCTGACATCCCCCTCCCCCCACTGCCCCGCTGGGAAACACTGCTCCTGGCCTAATGACTTCCTACCGAGGGGCCATCCCAGGTAAGTGGGATGGGCTGACCCAGAGAGAGCATGATATGGCCACAGATAAACCAGGAGGGGGTGGCAGAAGTGATGGCTCTAAATGGCGGGGCTCCAGAGGTGCTATCGAGAGGAGGTCTGGACAGTTAGGATGTAGTGGAGACCGGGAGGAAACATGGATAAAGGATCGTCTGATGAGACACAGGGCAGTGGGCCTGGGCAGTGTGTGTTCTGGGAGATTATGGGAACTAGTGAACTGAATGTACCAGACACCGCCAATTCGTGCACTTGCGAGGGACTCACCAGTGTGCCCCGCAGCTTCAGCTCTGGGTGACGTGTCTGTGATAGCTGGCACCTGCCTGTATGTCTCACCCGCTCTCTAGAACAGCTGTGAGCCCCTGGAGTGTGAGCAGCGTGGAGGGGCTCGCAGGGGGGAGCTGGCCGGACAAACTAGGTTGTTTCTGGACAGGACCAGAGGGAAGCAGGTTCCTGGGAAGTGTCTGGTACCAGGTGTCACTAAATCTGACTTGGAAATTCATTGAAATCAGCTGGGGGACGACCCTCTGCCTTGGGCCGGGGCTGGCTGCAGGGCAGTTCGGCAGATACCGATCCCCAGCAAAGGGGTGAGTTGAAGAAGGTGTCCAGTGTGGGCCCAGACACTGATGCCCTTTGGGCAAGTTACTTCACCTCTCAGCCTGTGAAGGGGGCCCATGACCCTAAGCTCCCTCCTGGGGCTGTGAGGACTTGGGGGCAGGGTTGGCAAAGGGCTGGGGCTGGGGCTGGTTTTCAGTAGTGACCTGGAAGGAGGCTGCGAGGTGTTGGTCAGCTGGGAGGAGCAGCGAACGCAGCCAAGCCAGGGAAGTGATCCAGAGGGCGTGAGAGGCCTTGGAAGGAAATGGCAGGAGGGGGCTGGATTGTAGCGAAGGTCGGGGCTCCTGGTGCTTCAGCCCTGAGGCAGGCTAACCCTGCTGAGAGCGGCTGTCTGTCACTCAGTGCTTGCAGTGCCAACGAATGGCTGGGCATCACCTCACTAGGGCTCCCAGCGTGGAGCTGAGCTGGTGACAGCGGCGCCAGGGGATCTGAGCCAGAACAAATGCAGTGATGCCCCAGGGACACATGACTGTGAGCCGGGAGCGAGTGGGGCAGACAGCCGAGGAGCTGGCCTGGTGAAGAGTTATCGACACTAGAGAGGTGACACTAACCACTGTGTGCTCGCACTAGCATATCCGGAGCACACTTGTCCACACGTTGCACAGCGAGATCACCCCCCAGGGAGTTAGATTTGCTTCCCCTTCCACCAGTGCAGGGCCAGGATGGAATAGCCCCGGGGTGCAAACTGTCCTCCCACTACCATCCCGTGGTGCACTGGCCAGGCCTACTAGCTCCAGTAGTAGCCAATGTCTGCTCGGGATAAACAAGCTCAGATCAGCAGGCCCAGATAACATGCACCCAGCAGTCCTACCACAGCTGGCTGAGGAGATCTCTGGCCCACGGTTGATAGTTTTTAATAAATCTTGGAATCCTGGGGACATTCCAGGAGACTGGAGGAGTATCACTCTTGTGCCAATATTCAGAAAGGCAAGAGGGATCATATGGGCCCATTAGCCTGGTGCCCGTCCTGGGGAAAGTGAGACAGGATTCAGTGGATAAATTGAAGGATGGGAATATCATTAATGCCAGTTGAGATGGGTGTATGGAAAACAGGTCTTCTCAGACACAGCTGGTGTCATGCTAGGAGGAGAGTCCAGGTTTGCTTGATAAAGGTGATTGTGTATGTACTAGACTTGGAGATTGCAAGGCGTCTGACGTAAAGCTTTGCCTCCACATACAGAGCTGCCCTGGTGCAGCTCCGCCCCGTCGCGCTTCGTGAAGATGCTCCTACGCCGATGGGCGAGGGAGCTTCTCCTGTTGGCGTCGGTATCCCGCCTCCCCGAGAGGCAGTAGCTAGCTTGGCAGGAGAAGCTCTCCCATTGACAGAGCGATAAGTGCCTTGTGATGTAGCTATACCGACATAAGCATATAGTGTAGACCAGGGCTTAGGGCTTGTCCACACGGAGGCTGTAGTGCAGACATAGCCTATGTTGGCATCACTGATGTCACTCGGGTGTGAATAAACCACCCCCTGAGTGATGGTGTGCATCGGGTGTGCACAGCGCTATGTCAGTGCGAGAGCGTCTCCCCCACACAGCTTCTGCCGCTCGCGGAGGTGGTTTTATTATAGTGACAGGAGAGCTCTCTCCCGTCGGCATCGCGCGTTTTCACCAGCTGCGCTGCTGCAGCGCTGTACGTGTAGACATGCCCTGAGTGCGCGGCAAGCTGGGATGTAAACCTAGCGCAACCTGGCCTGCCGCACAGCGCACGATCAGTTCCTAGTGCTCATGCAGCAGTAGGTCAGAGCACACTACAGCACCATTAGTGCACGGCAGCAGGGCCTGCTTGGCCAGTGAGTGTGCATCAGGCTAGTGTGCTTTAGAGTTACACCCCGGCCTGCCGCACACCACGTCTCCATGTGGAGCAGTCCCTGGTACCATGTATTGATTTAGATGGACTAATTGGCCCGAACATAAGAATGGCCCTACTGGGTCAGACCAAAGATCCATCTAGCCCAGTATCCTGTCTGCCAACAGTGACCAATGCCAGGTGCCCCAGAGGGAATGAACAGAACAGGGAATCATCAAGTGATCCATCCCGTCGCCCATTCCCAGCTTCTGGCAAACACGGCTAGGGACACGGATGTAAGGTGTAAGCATGGCCCAGTCGCTGTCCAACATTAAACAGTTTTAAACAAGGTTTGAAGTTTGGTATCCAGAGACCGCAGCCTGCTTAGCACCGTGGCAAACACTCCACTAAACACTCTTGTTAACCTTTATTAAAGCCACAGAAAAGAAGGAGTAACAGTTACAGCACTGGAAAGGTTAAGTATTAAATCAGGCTCTCATTTTAACAACATTCCTTCTCCCTTTCCCTTTAGCTGGGGAGAGATTTTAGAAGGAACCCCCTTGTTTGACCGTCACTGAGATGGTATCACAGATGGTAATAACGGAACACAGACATAATTAGATGGATGAGCCGGAGCGGTTGTTGTTGCTAAAGTCTGATCCCATTTCCTAGAAGACAAAACAAGCCAAACACACGCGAAAGGGGAGAGAAAAGAAAACGGAGAAAATGCAGCTTCTGTGTTAGCTGTCGACTTTCACTTGCCCTCTCCCACTGCTGGAGAAACGGGGGCCAGCGCTTGGCTGTTCAGCCACTCTGAGGCCTTGCAAACTTGTACCAGCAACAGGCTGTCAGGCTTTTAGATGCCTCTTTCAGGTCTCAGGCTTACGGCTGTGTTGCGAAATACCCCATTTTGGCCGGCTAAGCCGGGCTCCCGTTAGACAGCAGGAAAAAGGAGAGGGCTAGGAAAGAGAAGGAGTGAGGCTGGGAAGGGGAAGGACACGTTGGGGGGTGGGGGGGGGGGAGAGCCAAAGTCTCACACCGCAGGTGGCATTCGGGAATAGCTGGCGCTGGAGTCATCCGGCTCCCTCTCTGTGGCCCAGTGCGGCTAGCGCACCTCTCAGGATTAGGACGAAGAAGGTCTGGGGTCCCAGCAGGGCGTGGGGGAGGCAAGTCATGAGGGTGAAGCGTGCTTATTGTGACATTTTATGAACTTTCAGTCACTTCTTGCAGTTGAATTTACAATGAGGATTAATTTCTAGGCCCGATCATTACAGCCCACTGCGCGACATTCTGATTAAAATATCAGCGCTATCCAGTGTCAATGAAGCGCACATCAGATGGATGACGAGCTGGCTGACA